TGTACATACACTGTTGGAAAAAAACAGCTGAAATTTGCACCGGAAAATAGCCGCTAGCTTTCCACCCAAATACAATAATCTTTGCTACACATTGCCATACAGTTTCGCCAAAATCATGGCGGATGCAAGGAACTTTGGAGTTATTTCCCACGGTGCACTCTTCATAAAATGATTCCCAAAATTCGCACAACACGTCTCTAGTCACCCCGCCTCCATCTTCAGCGACTTCAGGCATACCATTTGGGAGCAGCATTTCTACAGAAACAATGTCCCGAAAAGGATCAATGTCCTTAAAACCTGCGATAAGTTCTTTTAACACTTGTCCTCTGTGTAATTTTAATGCATGGTTCACCGGAGAAGTACCGTTATCAACATTCTCGATCTGGTCTGCTTCTTCTATTCCTGCTAGCCTGATAGCTGTAGATAACAGATCATTTGATTGTCGATCATTTTCCAAGGGTAAAGGGGTAGTTGCATCATAAAGGTCTGGGAGAGAGTCATCATCTGACTCTCTGTTTGTGTTTGATCCTTCATCAACGATCGGCATGCTGATGCTTTCCACATCGCGATCTCTATCTGTTTCGTCTTTGCACGTGGTGGCAAAATAAAACCTCAGTAAGGGCATTTTTGTTTCCTCATACATTTCTTTCACTGTTCTATCATCCCGCACACTTCTGTCTCTAAAATCCCAAACATCACAGAGAAAATCAGAAATGTGACCTTTTGTTGATACCCCATCAGGGAAAAACAGCCTCTTTCCTTCTTCTAGAATGTCCCGTTTTGTCGCATCTTTTCTTATGTTTACTCGTCGCGTTCCGCCGCCTTTCTTTTGCCTTACTTGTAAACTGCCAGTTTTGGTTTTGTGAATCCATCCAATCTCAATACGCCTGGTGGCTTTTTCTGCGTTACGATTGCCAAACTGTCTCTTTGTTTTCCGCATTTCGTCTTCGTCGGATGATGATTGTTCTTGTCTCCTCTTTCTGCCCTTTCGTTTTACTTCTATTTTCTCCTTCAATACCTCTAGCAGTTTCCTTCGTCGCGTAACGTGATTGTTTACTTGTTTAGTCCTTTGTAGAAACTGTCGGACCTTTAACCTGTTACCGTGGAGGGGCACATATTTTGACAGATCTTCATCAGTCATAATGGATATCAGATCCGGAGTTATCTGAAATACAATAAAACAATTAGCATTGTAAGACTTTTTTTTTAGTAATTCACACTCAAGATGATTATTGAACATAGTGAATTTTAATACTACATTGATGCTTTATTTTAGATAAACCTCTTTTTTATTCTGTTACTGAATTGCAAGTGGGTTAGTACTTTGAATAGTGCGGTTTTGATGAAGAAACAAGATGAATGTAAAATCCTGCCAGATAGTGAAGTGTACATTCACTTGAATTTGTTCTTAATGAGTGTTAAAGCAAACATCCATACATTTGAATTGTTAAAAACTTGCTATTTGTTTTCACTGGATAATGTTCATCAGAGAAAAGATAAACAAGGCATCGCAAGCTATACAAATCCCCTCGCGCCCCCTTATGTTTAAGAACACATCCCTTATGTTGCAAATAACAGTGTCTTGTTACGTTACATACACCAACTCGTTGAAGGTATTCTAATTGGTATGAAGTTTGATCAAAATCCATTGAGAAATGAAGTCGCAAGAGCCACAGTAAATATTTTCTATAAAAAGTAACATTGACCTTGCGGTTGACCTTTGCATGATACCTAACCAATATATGAAGTTTGATCAAACCCCGTCGAGAAATGAAGTTGCTAGAGTCATGACAACTATTTTCTATAAATAGCAACTGTGACCTTACCGTTGACCTTGGGATGTTGAAACTCAAACTTGTTCAAAGTACCCTGATAATTAATCAATATATGAAGTTTGATCAAACCCCGTCGAGAAATAGAATTGCTAGAGTCATGACAACTATTTTCTATAAATAGCAACTGTGACCTTGCCGTTGACCTTGGCATCTTGAAACACGAACTTGTTCAAGGTATTCTGATACTTAATCAATATATGAAGTTTGATCAAAATCCATTGAGAAATGAAGTCCCTAGAGTCGCCGCGAGGGCATAATAAGACTTTGTCCTTTTGTCTCATAACCTTTTTATCTAATTTTCATGTAGAAATGTTTACAAATACTCTGCTTATCAGACAGAACTAAATACGTCCATATGGATACCTTTGAAATAGGGCCAAAGTCATTCATTTAACCTAACTTATTAACCTTCAATCCAGTATGCTTCAGAACCAATGCTGTATCAAAATGTTGGGCCGTAAGGTTATTGAAAAGTTATTCAAGGATTTTAACACATTTGTCCTTGTGTGACTAAGAAAGTGGTTGAAGGTGATTGATTTGAACAAACTATCAGCCCTTCGTCCGAACATGCTACAGAGCCATTATCAGTATTGGTTTTAAGAAGAGGTCGTTTGAAGGGAAAAGATGGAAAATCGGACGGACGGACGGAAGTCAAACCACAATATAAAATAACTTCCTCTTCGATCAAGTGGCTTTAAAACCTAAATAATGAGCTTGTCCCTCCGTCCGCGATATGTATTGAAATCCTGGTCAGGAAAGAGTCTAAAATTAGCAAAGATGCATGTGGTAACCTCTATCTTGAGGTACCTGACTGGATAGTATAGCATTCAACACGTTTTGATTGTATATTACCATTTGCAATAATCATTTTACCTGTTCCTTTTGCATTTCTGTGATGACCTCATTAGAGGTTATTGTTTGTTCCCTGATGAATTCCCAGAAATTGGACTCCGCCATTGTCAGGACCTTCTTTGAAAATAAATCGTTGATTTTGAGTGCATGTACTAATATACTCGGAAACTCGTAAAAACGACTTTTTTCTCGTAAAAACGACTTTTTTCTCGTAATAACGACTTTCGAAACTCGTAATTACCCATTTTTTTTTCGTAATAACGACTTTTTTTCTCGTAATAACGACTTGTAAAACTCGTTATAACGACCTTTTCCTCGTAATAACGACTTGTAAAACTCGTTATAACGACATTTTTCTCGTAATAACGACTTGTAAAACTCGTTATAACGACCTTTTTCTCGTAATAACGACTTGTAAAACTCGTTATAACGACATTTTTATCGTAATAACGACATTTTTTCTCGAAATAACGAGAAATTAAAAATATTCTCTGACTTTCATATGACCTCAGGCGGCTTTCGTAAGTTCAAGTGATGTAATGTGTGTGTTTGTTTCTGGATCACTGTAATCTATCTTAAGCATCCCTGTGATTTCATGATGTCATCAGAAACGGATTTGCACATGTCCCGGCGATACACATGTCGATCATTTCTGGTGAGCAAAATTGAGGTCGGATCTGTGGATATTTTTTTTCGAAAAATACTGGCCTTTGAGTGATCAGGTTTTTAAATAAATGATATAGTATGAACACATTTCAAATCATTTATGTATTTGGTTGGTAGCAATTCGTTGACAAAGCGTAACGCGCGAGAAATGATTCTTCTGGGGTCCAAAACTAATGCGCCAAGGATACGTCTCTTTTCAAATCCTAGTATGTATTGGCAAGATATTAACACAACGGTTAGAAAAATGACCGCGTCCTGCGCTAAAATATTAAATCCGACAAGCCATTCGTGGGTAGTGGGTATACACGTTTAAAAATATTCGGGACGAAGTTAGATTTGTTGGAGAGGAGATATATATATTACAGCAGAGACGAATCCCATTTATTTATACGTGTATATATGTATGTCAGGCGACGGAGGTACCTCAGGTAAATTCAAATTTACTAACATCTAAAATCGTATTTATAATGAAAGGTAAACATGATAATTTTACTGTGGTATATTCGGTCATGTGTCATAGTGTTCAGGAGTGACCCCAGAGCCAATCGCTGATTGGTCGACACGTTTATAATGGTGGGATAGCCAGGTGATACACATTTTGTACGTCTGTTTCGGCTCATTGACTATAACCGGACAATTTGGAACACGTCAACATTTTCAACTGATCTGTCGACGTAGAGAGTGTGTTAGATTCTAAAAAGGAAGATTTTTCCCCAACACTCAACGAGGTGGCTGTCGATTATGTCAACGTTGTTGCATGCTTTCATTTTGATCTTGTGCCTTGTTCCGAGAATACATGGGAATGACACAACAGGTAATTTTTTATTCACACTAAAGACGGCAAGAGCCCTTATGGAGAATTTTTAAAGATAAAATGATACTCCTGCTGTGTGATGTAAATTTTAATTCATACAATTACAAATTGTGAGTTTAAATGATCACGTACGCAAGTAATATTGACGCGCTCTTCGGGATGGGTCAGGTGTGTACCAGGTGAGAACTCGACACCAATGATCAAGCTCACGAGATTGTGACATCATGATTTCTTTGGTTTTAATTTATAGATAAATGAAATGTTTGTTCAGGAGAGTCTTTTCCATACTGAGTGTTTCACGAAATTTTTGATAAACGCAACAGAGCATGTTATTTATAGCCAAAGTAATCTCTATAATGGCCGACATTTTACAAGGAGTTGCCTCGCCTGGAACACAATAATACATCCTGGTTTAGGTGGATTTTTTTTTGGTGTGACGAGATGTGAGAGATCGAATTAAAGAGTACTGTATGAAAGACACACGACTAAACAGCACCTTTTCATGCAAATTTAGAATTAGATAGAGCCAGAGACGTATATGTGTGATATATACGTCTCTAATAGAGCTAAACAATGAAGAAAACTGCACCATATAAATCTGTTTCATCATTCTAAGACTTGTCGCTGATCAATTAAGGCTCCGAATTATGAATTCTGGAAGGCAACTGATAAAAATCAAAGTGATCAAAAGAAATATCGAAATTTAGATTGGGAGGTGCACAAGACCCATAATTTAATAAATTTTGTACTTTTCACAACATTTGGCACATTTGAAGTGGAAGGAAAAAACTATGATGTGATAATACGTGAGCTTGCTTCCAATCTCAAATATAATGCGTGTATGTGTAAATAAGGGTGAGTATTGCTAACAGTTTTCATCTTGCAATATATTACGTTATTCAGAGGGATACAATGTGAAATATCGGGATATATTTTTTCATAGATGTACATTAGAGAAAAATAAGTGTAATTTAATGCATTGATGTACCGAAAACTAGACAATTTTGATTTAAATTACACAACACATTTAGTTTAAGAACATATCAAACAGGATGAATTTGGGTTTCGATATAATATGCTGCAATATAATGTGATACTGAAATTATATTGCAAATACAGTCGAAAATCCTTATCTCAAAATTCAAGGAAGTGGAAAATATTTCGACTTATCTGTATTTTGACTCAAACCATGTGTATAAATATGGTTGATGATATCGGCTTCTTGAATGAAGTAGGGCTACGATAGCGCACAAACAGCATAGTTTGCTATGATATTCAAAATGACAGAAAATAAACAAATGAATTTATCCTACTTTCTCCTTTTATTGTTTATTCATCCAAATAGCAAAATGTGTAATAACAACTCCAATCAGATACAATTGTACTCGCATTGTTCCCTCCCCAACACGTGTAGAATACCCACATATATTTAGCAGAATTACATGAAATTACATTACAGGAAATTTAAATTTTCTTTTGATTTGCTACAAGAATTGTTGTATGAAGCCACAGATCATATTAATTTAACTTTCTGAATAAATAAACGCGTGAAAAACGTGGCACTAGAAAGTTTTTACCTGTTACAGAAAACATTGTACAAGCACTAGATAAACGTACAGATATAGACTCTATCGATGAAAAATACTTTCAACACTTCATTGTCCAAATACTAAATCTGATGAAGTGCCCGATCACAGTCCTTTACTTAACAAGCTCAAAATGAGTTTCTTTCGGAATTGTTGCAATCAGAATTCGTTAAAAAGTTTGTACTGGTTTGAAGGTTTTGTTTTTATCGTTCCTGCAGGAGCACGTAACCAAGCTAAATGTTTTTATGTTTTATGTAAATGCGATAATTTTTATCATACAGGTAAGTAACTGCTAAAGGATGGTTACACTAATTAAGAAGTCAACCTTTAATTGGATAATTAAGCTGGTAATTAATCGTCATTGACCAAGTGTTATGTGTAGGATGGACTGATACACCATAATTAGCCATGTGTTATGTACAGGTGACTTTCTACTCTGTGTATGTATTGACTGATTTTGTCAGAAGACGTACTGATGTTTTGACAAAAAATAATTTTGAGAAAAGGAAAGACATTTCCCTTGTATACAATTAAAGGGACTGAAAAATTGCTTAGACTCAGTGAAATTTTCAACTAAATGAAATTTGAGTCATCCAAACCTGAGATGTATATATCACATATATATATGATATATGTGATATATATATCTCTGTCTAAACTAAACATACAAAGATATAGAAGGGAAAGGTCAGGACTTGAAAATTATTTTGACTCCAGCAATTTTGAGTTTCAACTGTATGTATTGACTATTACAATATGATTGCTCACTCCTATGTGTAATGAGTGTTCATTCAGATTGAAGTAGTGGAGAAAAGGAAAATCAGATATTGAGAGATATATGAAGATAAGAGTTTAAGATGTTGAGTACCTGGGTAGTCTTGTGAATAGTTGTTTTATGTGATGTGGATGATTATTTAGTGAGATTACATACATAAGGCCATACCAATTTGATTTATAGTTCGTCGGATTTACCACTCCTATTTTAAGCGATTAATAATTAAAAAAAGAAAAAATACCGCTCTTATTTTATCGTCAGTCAAAATTGACGAATCCGGACTTATTTTGCATGGGATTTCAAAACTTAGAAATTGCCCTAATTCTGGATCACAGGGGCGTTTGTCACAAACGTCGCAATTATATTAAGCTTTTTTTCTGCGTCTGATCTACATTCGACCGAGAAAAAAGGCTAGCTAACAACATGGGAATAATCGTAGTTTCTCTAACGACTGAGACTGGTTGTTATAGTGTCATGCCAAACACAGCAATGGAGACAGCTGACAACATTTCGTTTTATGATCTGTACGATCAGTTAGAACTATCGCATCAGATATTGGAAATAATAAATTTTCACTAGTCGTCCTCCCTGTTCAAACAACATCATCGTCTCCTCGCCGACCATGCTTGCATCGGTATGTGCGGATTTGAACATGAAATTCGTTGAATTTTTAGTCAGTTCTTGCCATAAATCAGAAGACACAAAGTCTGATAAATGTAAACAATCTGCATTTTCCGTGCTCATTGGGTCACAAAAAACTCTCTCTCCCACCGAAACCTACAACTTCAAAACTGAATGTTCTTTTTTAACATTGTTTAGTTTATAATTTGATAAAGGTATATAATTTTTTCAATATTTCTTTAATATCTTTTTACATGTTTTTCTTTCAAGCAATTGTTACAATACAGTTATTATGTTTTGAAAATGTGTTTGTTGATAATTTCATTCTGATTAACATAATTGGTGTGTCCATTTTGGAATTCTATTCCAGTGCAGGTCTTCTTCAGATATTCAGTCTTCCTCCACCAAAATGATCTGCTGAACTTGATACAATTGGCCATGGATAAATGCAATTACATTACAAATTAATGGTTCATTGTGAGATATCATGCATACAATTCTTTTCTAACATATTTTCCTTATATGATACAATATAAATATGGATAAAATGATTTATTACTGGAGTCCTTGATCAGGTAGATGTTTTACTTTAAAAGTTCTGTCATAATCACTTAGAAATAACATTAAAAACCAAAAGGATAATTTAATTCCAACATAAAAAACATTGCTTACAGTCGCTTGCTCCAATTGTGGAAGATTTGGATTTTTTTTTTTAATATTAAAAAAGTTTCGCTCGCCCGAAGAACTATAAATCAAATTGGTATGGCCTAAGATGTTAAATGTTGTTTATGTGTGTAAATATACTTGTCTCTGAATTTAAACAAAATTTCTCTCATTTGGTTTAGATGCTTCAAATCAAAATGCTGTACCAGCACCAGTTACACCGTCACTGAATCCATCCTCCAACGGAAGTCAAGTGTTAACAGATTTGCCACAGAATGCGACTGGTTCATCAAATCAGACTGTTCAATCGCCACCACCGATGACAACAGTACCCACTGATCTGTCTAAGATAACATCCACATCTCGAAGTTCTACTTTGGCTGGTGGGGGTTCTGGAAATGTTGCTTCTACCAATGTGGACACTCAAGTTTCATCACTGAAACCCAATATAACTGCAACTTCCAATAAACCTACAACACCATCCCTCGATGCTTCTAACTCCCAAAGCCATACTACAACCTCAAAGACCAGTTCCCCAATGCCCCCTATCCCTAATTCTACTAATACTAATACTACAGAACCTCCCAGTACAACACCAAATAGTACTACTACAGAACCTCCCAGTACAACACCAACTAGTAATACTACAGAACCTCCCAGTACAACACCAACTAGTAATACTACAGAACCTCCCAGTACAACACCAACTAGTAATACTACAGAACCTCCCAGTACAACGCCAACTAGTTCTACTGTAAAACCTCCGAGTACAACACCAACTGGTTCTACTGTAAAACCTCCTAGTACAACACCAACTGGTTCTACTGTAAAACCTCCGAGTACAACACCAACTAGTACTACTACAATACTTCCAAATACAACAACAACTAATACAACTGTAAAACCTCCGAGTACAACACCAACAAGTGCTACAAAACCTCCCAGCACAACACCAAGTAGTACTACTACAAAGCCTCCCAGTACAACACTAACTAGTACTACTACAAAACCTCCCAGCACAACACCCCAAACTACAAATACATCACCAGTTTCTTCTACGAAAAGATCCCATGAAAACGTAAGAAAATCTGGTGGATTGAGCAAAGCAGGAAAAGTAGCTGTTGGAGTAGTCATTACTATCATAGTCGTGATTGCCATTGTGATAGGCGTCCTATGGTACAGAAGGTAAGTGTTTGTGATGCCTATTACTTTACTAGACAGTTTTCTTGTTGTTCAAATCACCCTTCGTCTGCAGTCTGTCTGTTGTCAGTCTGTAAACAATAATTGTTATTGCCATATCTTGAGAAGCACTGAAGGAATATCACTTAGACTTTATGTATAAGTGCTCCTCTGTCCCTAGTTGTACCCATTTAAAATTGAGCTTGAATTTTGACAGTTGAAATTTGTTATCCTTATTGCTTGAGAAGTATAGATCCTGAACAATTTAACATTAAAAAAAATTTTGTTTGCATTTCATAAGTTTAAGAGAAGTTGTGTTCTGAATCTTTGATCTTTTTTGTTTGTTTGCACCATCATTGTTAAATATCTTTATTTAAGAAGTAGGTGTATATTTTACTTCTCTGATGTAAGCTAATTATCACCTTCATCCAGCATTGTGGGTCCGTAAACAATATGAGGTTTTTTTTCAAAATCTCCAGTACTGATTTCAGTGAAATTTTTTAGGAACTTTGCATAAGATGAAACAAAGTACCTGTAGCGAATTATATAATCCCGACCCCATGTGGGCCTGAGAGGTGGGGCCAAAAGGGTAAAATTTACTCAAATTTCAAAAATCTTCTTCTCAACATTCAGATAGGGTAGAATCAAGTACTTTTCATGGATGGAGGCATCTTAAGATGGTTTACAAAACTGAATTTCATGGCCACAGGGTCTCACATTTCTCAGTGGGAAGGAGGTAAAGTTTACAGTAGTTTATATCGAAAAAATAGATTTTTGAGTAGAATTTGTTTAATTTTCATTGGAAATATTTCAAACTGGCTTTGAATTATGTATGGAGAATGACAGCTTTATGGTAAGCTCATATTGATCCTGGTTGACCCTCATGGGCTGATGTGCAGGGCCAAAAGAGGTAAAATTGACTTGAATTTCAAAAATATTCTACTCAACACCCAGGTATGGCTTAAGCAAATGCACTTCTTGGATGGAAGCATCTTAAGGTGCATTTAAAACAAAAATGATTCTCACATTTCTTCCTGGAGAGGATGTTAACGTTACTATAATTTATATGGAAAAATTACATCTTCTTACTGGAGATAACTTTGTAAGAATTTGTAGTATCGGATGACAGCTTTGATGGTATGCATGTATTGACACTGGCTTACTTTATTCAATGTCACAATTTCTGTTTTATGACACTTTATAACTACCCTTTAACCTTTATATTCAATATTGCTTATCTATGGTGACTGTCAAGGCTGCTAGGCCTCTTATATAATTGTTTCGTTGCAATGCAGGGTAGAGGTTTACTGGATAAGGTAGTTCTGCAAAGCAGATTATTTTTGATACAGGAACAAATGTTTTGCTGCTCAGGAAGCAAACAATTATCAGCATTTAAACATACCTTTGTGTTTTACTATCAACAAAAATTTAGATGACATTAAAGTAATAATAGATAAATTAAGTGATGCTCTTCCAGTTGTGTGAGATGAATTATCTGTAGAAAGTCAATACAATGTAACAATATCAACTAATAATTACATATATCATCTTAAACCACTAGAATATCAATGAATAAATCATATTTGTGATCTTGTACTTAAGAGATTATAGAAGCATTTGAAAATGAGAAATACAATATTTTTGTTTTTAGGTCATCTGACTCAAAGGGTTGGCATGATTGTGTTTTGTCCATTGTCACATGGGCCTTGAATCATCCACCATGTGTAAACTTTCTATTGAAACAATTTTTTTTCAATAACAAAAAGGCTCAATGTTCTTATATTGGGTCTCTATCATGCTGGGATGAAAGGCTATCAACTCTGTTCAATTGAATGACCTTGATCCTCTTTCAAGGTCACAGGAGTCAAATATGTCAAAATTTTTAAACAAGGTCCATGATGCTGATATTTGGTGTGTAGCATGTTGGGATGAAAGGCAATCATATTTCGTTTGTTCAGATGAATGATCTTGACCCACTTTCATGGTCACAGGGGACAAAAGATTTTAGATGTTTAAACAAGATCTTCTCAATGACCAAAAGTCCCAAGGGTGCTGATATTGGGCCAGTAGCATGCTGGGATGAAGGGATACCAAGTTTGTCCAAAGGAATTACCTTGACCCACTTTCTAAGTCACAAGTTCAAATCATCAAGCAGTTTCTTCTTAACCAAAAGATCACAACAATTGATATTGGTTCTATAACATAATTTGATAAAAGGCAACCAAATTTCTTCAAATGATTGACCTTGACTTCTTATCAAGGTCACTAATATCAAATGTGTTTAGAGCTTCAAACTCTTCTTTCAACGAGCAGTTGGACCTGGGTCATGGTATTTGTGTTGTAGCATGCTTGAGAAATAGGATTTCAAGTTTATAGATATTGACTATATGAACTGACAATGCCTACTGTTTAAGATGTTGAACAAGTGAGTGATTCAGGAAATTGGTCCTCTGTTATATTTATGTCTTTATAATCAGATGACCAGTATGGCCCATGGGTCTCTTGTTTCTTACACATTTCCACTCAGTTCTGCAAACTGCATATCAGAGTAAACTTAGAAGGTTGTACAGTAAACCTCGAATAAGTTGAAGTCGATGGGACCAAGCAAATTATTCGACTTATCTGATGGTTCGACTCAACAGTGTTTTTGTCTATCATCTGTAATCGAGACATCATATATTTAAACTGACCCTATTTTCGCCGATCGTGTCTGATAGCAAGGTGTTAATGAAAAGAACAAGACAACATCTATATTTTATAATAACAATTATTTTTTTATTAAAACACAAATAAATTTTAGGTTAATGACAGTTACTGTAATCGTCATTGTCACAAACACGTATCTTTCACATCAAGCTTCCTCTTCTGTCCTCTTCTTTCTTCCGCATTCCTCTCAAATGATCCAGTTATCCCCCCAGATTACCTGGGTCCTTCACTAGATTGCTCATTTGAACTCATGATTGAGAGTGTGGAATGAATGACTAATCCCGAATTTGAGGTTTTTTAATGTAAAACCAATTTTCATGAGGTAATACTTACCATAACTTTAGTATGCAAATATGGTACCTACACCCATCTTTGTCCCAAAAAACAAAAGATTCAAAAATCCCGCCCTCCCTACGACCATGAGCCTTCACGTCATGAACATAGAGTTATTTCCCTTCCTCTTAGCCTTTATGTAGCACCCGTAGAGGGGCAGTCAGGCAGATAGGAAGAGGGGAGGAAAGGGTGGGACTCCATAAAGTTATGGTAAGTATTACCTCATGAAAATTGGTTTTACATTAAAAAACCTCAATTTCATTTCAGTAATAATTACCATAACTTTAGTATGCGAATTCGTCTTACCGTAGTGGTGACTAGCAGCCAGGCAGCCCATCTAGCACACTAAACTTAGTAGGGAGGGGGGACAGAGTGCATAGAATAAGAAGGGGCAACCTCCCCGTGACCGAGCAGGTAAACCACGTGCCGCCGAACGGAAAAGACGAGCCCCGGGGCTAACGGGGGGGGCACAGCCACAGACTGTGCAACCACCAGAGGTCCCAAAGAATACAAACCTTCTGAGTGGGAAGCCAGGGATCTCAGATAAAAATCTGTAAATGTATCCCTGCCCCGCCAGAAGGCAGCAGACATGACCTCCTGAAAGGAGGACCCATTAAGAAGGGCCCAGGATGCAGCGAGGGCCCTTACCTCATGAGCCCGCACTCTCACCCTCGCCCGAGCCTGGTCATCAGAATGCTCATAAGCATACTTAATGACCTGGCATACCCACCTAGACACCGACTGGGAGGAGATGTCTCGCTGTCCCTGTTTGATAGGCAAAAATAGACGGGATCTGGAGCCCCGCCCCCCCCTGGTTTTATCGAGATAAAACCTAAGAGCCCTACAGGGACAAAGCAATCTATCCCTCTCCTCCGAGCTAGTCAAAGCCGGAATCTTGATGGGATCGGGCGAGAACCCCGGGACTTGATTCTTCGCAAGGAAGGAAGGATCAGTTAAAAGAGTAACGGCAGCGTAGCCTCTGGACCAACGAAGGCAGGAAGGAAATGACGACAGGGCGTGCACTTCACTCCTCCTACGTCCAGAGGCCAGAGCCAAAAGGAAGACTGTCTTAAAAGTTAGAAACTTCAAAGAGGCAGACTCCATAGGCTCGTAAGGTGACCTCGTCAGGGAATCTAGCACCAAGGCTAAATTCCACTGCGGGGCCAGCTGCCGAACTCTGGGTCTATCCAAAGCGAAGCCTCTGATTAGGGCAGAAAGAGATGAGGAAGAACCTATCTCCTTCCTGCCGTAAAAAGCCAAGACACTGGCAATTGCTGTCCTATAGCCAGCAATAGTGCCAGGTGCCAGATTGCGGTCCCTAAACAGAGAGAGTAGGAAATCTGCAATCAGCTGAACAGAGGCTTCGAATGGATCAACCTCCCTGCCGACACACCAATCACAGAAGATCTTCCATCTGGACTGGTAGACGGCAGAAGAGGAAGCCCTGATAGATCGCGCGATGCGATCTGACACCTCTCGAGAAAAGCCTGCCTTGGCGAGGCTTCCAGAGATAGCCTCCACGCGTGAAGGTGGAGGATCTCTGGTCGAGAGTGTGTCGTCCTGGACCGAGGCTGACGCAGGAGATTCGGTCTGGTGGGGAGAGCCAGTGGCTCCTCCACCAGAAACGACAAGAGCTCCGGAAACCAAGGCTGCCTCGGCCACAGGGGGGCTATCAGAAGTAAGGAGCAGTGATGCTCCCTGAACTTCTGAAGCACCCTGCCCACCAGGTTGAAGGGAGGGAATGCATAAGCATGCATCCCGTCCCAGTCCAGAGAAAGGGCGTCCACAGCCCAAGCCTTCGGATCTGGGACCGGAGAGACGAAGGTTGGCAGCTGATTGTTCAGAGAAGTGGCAAACAGATCTATCAAAGGTCTGTCCCACACCTGACAAATTCCCCGGAAGACCGAGGGACACAGCTGCCATTCCGTCAACACCGGTTGGCGGCGCCTGGAGAGGGTATCCGCCAA